ATAACAACAACCAATGTATAATAATAATAATAATAATAATAATAAATAATCCCAAAATTATCCATAAATAAACGGGGCGCTGCAGTCACCGAGAGCCGAGCGAGACTGAGAGAGGCGCAGAGCCGACAGAAAGCCTACGCTAATAAGCGTAGAAGGGAGCTTGAGTTTGAGGAAGGAGACAATGTGTTCCTTAAGGTCACGCCGATGAAGGGCATTGTACGATTCGGGAAGAAGAGGAAGCTGCAGCCCCGATTCATGGGGCCGTTTGATATTCTCGAACAAGTTGGCGTAACAGCCTACAGCCTACCGTCTTGCGTTGCCACCAAAGTCCTCGGGTGTACATAACGTCTTCCACGTGTCGATGTTGAGGAAGTATGTGTACGACCCGAGCCACATAGTGACCTTTGGCGAGTTTGAGGTCGGACAGAACCTGACATACAGTGAGCAGCCCGTAGCAGTTGTAATGCCCCATTCGTTTTAGATGAGTCAGCGTATTTTAGGATTTTCGACTCGTTTAAATTTTAGGTATTTTTGCTTGGCAAAATCCTCGTTTCAGCTTATGCGGATTATTTTTAGAAATCATCGTCTTGATTATTCGTCGTGTCGATCAATTTCGTAGGCATCATCGTCTACTTGTATTATTTCTGAATTTTGAGCATTTAAAATATTTCGATTAATTGGATAACTCCGTCTAATTAATTCGATAAGTTGATTTATCCATTTTCTCGTCTATGATAAATTATTCGCCGTCGTTGCCCATTTTGAGTTCGTTCGTCGTATCGTGGGATATTAATTTATAGCGTAAATCTATGTTTAAGTTTGTTATTTTGCTTGATTTTATTTTATCCCTTTTTCGGCCCCCAAAGCCTAAGTGTGGGATATGCAAAATTCAAATGTGGAATGGCCACTTAAGGTATGATGTTGTTGGTCAAAGGATATCCTCATTCTCCCCTTAATGCCGGTCTTTAGCCTTGCTATGCCCTTATTTTTGGCACGTTGTTATCTTACCTTAATCACCTTGATCTCCACCATAGAAAATCATTTTTCCCCATACTTTCCTCAATACCTTCACGAGAGAAAATCTGAACGTTTTCACATATCTCTTGGCCTTATCCTTCATCAACAACCTCTCTCGAAATTCTGGTCCAAGAACAAAAAAAATTTCGTGACAGCAGCAAGATTAGTTTTTCAGCCCTCTGCCTTCATCCTAATTGCAGTCCAAATCATATTCTCCAACACATGGGATCCTTTGTTCACAAATTCATATTCCTTCCAACCATGGATTTTTACAACACAATTTCAGCAATCCAAATCATCATCATACAACCCACAAGTTTCATAAGGAAAATCGGATAAGGTAACCTCGCAGCGGAGAATTGCTATCCCAGCCCTGTCTACCCCGAGCAGTCGCACGCTGCCATCGCCATTGCACGCGTTCAGAAGTACGCCAACCACCAAAGCCGTGAGAATCGGGAGCCGTCCGAGCCATTGCAAGCCTTAGTCGCGCCCCGACTGTTCGCCGCCAGAGCCCGATAGAACCCCGTCGATCGTGGACCGCTCAGACTCTGGCCTCTCGGCCGTTAATCCCTCGAGTCGTCGCCTTGGAAATTGAGCCGTCAATCCGTTCACGCCTACCAATCACAGTCCGGAACATCTGAAACCAATTGAGTCGAACCTCCCCAGCAACTCCACGACAGCCTTCGCAGAGCCGCTACCTTCCCTGGGACCACCGCACGCCTGTAGCTACCCTAAGTCTCAGTCGCATCCCGTCTAGGAAAGCTGCGATCCGCTGTAGGCGACTGATCGCCACCCCATTCTCTCGCCGCCTTAGCGTCCGAATCGCCGCCCGTCAGCCGCTGAGGCCTCGCGAATCGCACCGCCGCTCATAGCCTCGGTGAACGACACCTACCCCTGTAGCCGGAAGCTAAATCGGGTGCATGAGGAAGAGGAGGAGATTTAAAAAATTTAGTGCCGAGATAATTTGTGATTTGCTAATTTCGATTGAAGAAGAAGGAGTGGCGGAGAGAAAGAAAAAAAAAAAGGAGGAAGAAAAAGAATTGGCCATTGGGGATATGTAGAAAGGAAGAAGAAAGAAAGTGACGGGGAAGAGGAAAAAGAAAACGGAAAAGTAAAAGGGATATTGATATTTTGGTACCTGAACTATTGTCATTTTGCTGATTTAGTACCTATAGTATATGATTAAATGATTCAGTACCTAAATTACACCCCTTTTAATTAAGTACCTAATTCAGATATGACCTAGAATAGGCAGTTTACATGTGTCTAGCCGGTCATTTTATGTTACAGCACATGTAAAGAATAAAGACATCCTCAACGAGATGTCTTTCCAGCTGAAAACACAACAACAAACCCCTACAAAAAGTGAGAAAAATAAATAACACCAATGTAAAATGCTCCACCATTAAACCAATAGATCCTGAGCAAGAAAAAATCACAAGTACTTAATGCAATTTGGTACTCAATCAAATGATAAAACGAATTCATTGTTTTTCATAAATGTAAAAATAGAGTAGATAAAATTGAACATTCAAAACACCATATTCAGACAGGATGACAAGATAAAGCTATCAAAATTCCAGAAAGGCTTGTCTACTAAATCCCCAATTTGTGACTGTACTTTAAGGCAACAATTGAAAAATTAGTGAGATCCCAATGTAACGGGTTCTTCCTTCGAGGACACAATTTGATTTGAAGAAGATAGGCCATTCTTGGTTGAAAATTTTTCCCACTGTAGGTTTTCCTAGCGATCTCTATACGCATGCAGGTTTTGATCCTCGAGGTTCGACATTAGCTCAATCTGTGGATCTTTGTGTTTAACCTCCATTTGGTTTTTGCTTACCTTGCAACCAAATGTCAAAAAGAAGAATATTAATTATTTAAACACCACAAAAAAAAAAAAAGAAAAAAGCAACACTCCATGTGTTTTATTCTGTTTTTGCATGTTCCGAGAAACCTTTTCGGGCTGCTCGAAAGATGTAAGACCAGAACTATTCCTTTTGGAACCCTACATGTTATCGCACTTGAAGCTATTAAAAGGATCATGGATAATTAATCATAATACGCTAAAAGAAAATGTATAATTATTGTTAACCTTTCTTGGAAGTGTTTGTATTTCTTCATTGAGCGGGGGAATATCCAAGCCTGAACTTGTGTCCCGCCTTTCTTTTACCAGTGGACAACCTCTAGCATTGTGAACTTTTTTGCGGCATACTGAACATTTCAAAACCATTCCTTTTCTAGATAATTTAGTAGAATTTTTCTGACCCTTTTCATTCTCTATACCTTTGCTCTCATTTGGATTTTTTCTTCTAGCATTTTTCTTAGGTCTCCCAGGTAACTTGGCATAAACAGGAGGTAGTAGCGGTTCACAATCAACTTGAGGCCACATGTCACAATCATTCAATGCCTCCATGAAGTTACTATATATCCTCATGAACGTACTTTTATGGTAGTACTTGTCCACATAATCTTCAGGTTTATGGCCTAGATAATAAATCCCAGATATAGCATGAGCACAAGGTATACCTGTTGTTGACATCCGAGTTCGCCCATGAGACTGAACCGGACCACGCAATTCCGAGAGCCGAACCAGAGATCCGGTCCACCCATAGAGCGCCGAGCTGGACCGAAAAACTTTTTGACCCTGGCATCGCCGTGAGACCATTCGTCAGTTCGGTATTTTCGATTACGACACCGCGGGTGCCGGGCTGACAAATGACGGACTGAAAGAAAGATTCCCCGGGACTAGGGGAACAGACGAAGGTAAGATGCCGAGGTGCCGACTTGGGGTCCCAGAGCGGACCTCTACAACGGAGAATGCTGACCTCTATAACGGTATAATAGTGCCACTTGGAGGGCAATCATTGGCTAAATGGATGGGACATCATAGCCTGCTGACCTACTCCTCTTAGCTAAGACATAAAGCCTGCCAGCATTAAATGCCTGTCACCTAATGATGAGGAAAACCTCAAATCGCATTTAATGCTGTCAGGGAGGCGCCGGACTGTCCTGCAGGAACACTGTACGACAAGACTGATGAACAGTACCTGAACAGTGCCACATTTAAGACTACTATAAATAGCAACCCTTCTCATTTATTTTGGGTTGTTGAATCTCAACTGTAAAAGCTGTCTCTCTCTACTTTCTCTCTCTAAAAAACTCGCGTAATTGCTCTGTAACAATTTGTAAGGATATTGCAAGCGCCGACCTCGTACGAGAGGCCGACCTCGCGATCTATTAATAAAACTGCAATTAAACCGTATTCCCTTGTTTTTTCCTTACTCTCTTTTCATTATTTAATCTTTTTAACCGTTGACCGGAAACGCCCGTCAACAGTTTGGCGCTAGAAGGAGGGCATCATAAGTTATTTGGTGTCTACTTTTCGATCTTGTAAAACTCCACACCACGCTCATCTTTTTCCCACTTTTTTCGCTTTTTAAAACCACTCAAAATGCCTTCATCTGGACATGACGATTCCACCCAGCAGTCCGGCTCCCAGCCTCGCCGCCGCAACGGCGGGGAGTCCTCCCGTCGCATTCAGCAGGGACCCATCGTCCCCGTACCCCCAGTTCCTACTTTCGCTGCGGCTTTGCAGCACCCCGACGTCCTCAAAGCCCTCGAGGGGGTCTTCGCCAAGGCCCTCGCCAGTCAAACCGCCGGGGCGAACACTGCGGTGCCCACTGAGAACCCCGGCAACACTTTGCTCCACACTCCTGAAAAGGAGACCGGTGGACAGAGGAACCCAGCAAAATCCAAAACTACGGCCCAATCTCCGAACCGTGAGGCCCAGAACCGCCGCGACAGGAGTACCAGACCGGCTCCCACGGAACAGACAGGGGAGAGCCGGTCGGAGCAAAGCCTCCCGGTCGTTCGTCGCTCTGTTCACCAGCGCCTGGGTGACAAGAGCCACGCCAACCAAGACCTCCGGGAGGTGATCAGGCGGGGCAAAGCCATCGGCCACGACACTGAGGAAGTCGCGGCCCTCAAACTCAAAATCGCCGAGTTGGAAGGTCGGCAGCCCACCGGGAGTGATTTTTCACTCCCAGCTCATCAACAAACCCGTACGCGATCGACTCCTCGGGTCGCGGATAGCGCCTCGCCACTTTCCCTTGATATCCTGCAAGAGGCTGTCCCGAAGGGGATACAAATACCCCAGCTCGGCCTCTATGACGGGAGCTCGGATCCCGACTCACACCTCGGCCTCTACACCTCGTGGATGGACCTGCACGGCGCCTCCGACGCCCTGCGCTGCCGCATGTTCTCCCTGACGTTGGGGCCTAAGGCGCAGAGGTGGTACCATTCCTTATCCCCCCGCTCCATCTCGACCTGGGCACAGCTCGGGTCGGCGTTCCGGTCCCACTTCATCGGATCGCAGATCAATCTCGCCCCCAAGGAGTCAATCTCCAACATCGTACAGGGCGAGACTGAGAGCCTGAAGGACTACATTGCCCGATTCAATGATCGGGTCCAAAACATGGAGCGGTGCCATCCCGACGCCTTGCTCATCACGGCCCAGGGCGGCCTCAGGCCGAAGACGCTGTTCAGGTGGTCCCTGTGCCAAAACAAACCGACCACCTACCAAGAGTTCCTCACCCGCGCTCAGGAATACATCATGGCGGAGGAATCCTCCTCCATCCCGACCTTCGACGCCACGCCGGCACCAGCACCAGCAAAGGCAAAGGCAAAGGAGGAAAAATCAGGGAAGCCAAGCAAGTCCTTCGCCGAGATCCGAGCTCAGCGAAGACAGAGGGCCGAAGAACTGAGAGAAAGCTATCAGGGCGTCTTCTCGGTAGGTGCCGCGGCGGTCTACGAGGAGATCAAGGCCAAGGGGTTATTACCGGACCCCAAGCCGATGTTCACCGACAAGGACAAAGTAGACAAGACCCGCTACTGCACCTACCACAAGGCGCACGGGCATAACACTGATCAGTGCCGAAATTTGATCTCGGCACTTCTGAAGCTGATCGATGACCCCCAACTTCGGAAGTTCACCCACTCCGGAGACAAGAGGAAGAAAGGGGGGCGTTTCGAGGAAAACCCCGACAGTGACGAGGATGCCGATATAAATCCTCGGAGGAAGAAACCGCAGCAGGGTGGTCCCCACGAAATCATGACCTTCTGCCCCACCCACCAAGACGAGGCCGGCACCTCCAGGGGCAGAAAAAGAGACCGGTCCCCTCGCACCGGGGCCGACCCAGCCAATTACCCATCCCGGCGCGTCAACACCAGCCGGGGCGAATCCCTCCTCTCCAGGAGACAGACCAAGGCTTACGCCCGACAGGCCTACCATGCCGGGCAAAGGGTGATGCACGCCCACAGCAGACCGGCGCCGGAGCCGACCCCAAATACCGTCACCTTCACCGATGAAGACGCCTTCCTGTTCGATCATCCCCACTCCGACGCCCTGGTGATCACGGCGCCGATCATGGCGATTAAGATCCATCGCATCATGGTCGACACCGGGGCCTACGCCAGCATTCTTTATTACGAAACCTTCAAGAAGATGGGGATTGATAGGAAGGAGGTGCAGCCCTGCCGGGAGCGAATCCAAGGCTTCAATGGCCAGACCATCGCCCCAGTCGGACAGGTCACATTGCCGATCCGTTTCGGAGAAGGAGGGCAGCCCACGAAGACAATCTTAGAGACCTTCAAAATCGTGGACTGCCCGAGCGAGTACAATGCCATCCTGGGAAGGACGGCACTTTACAAGCTGAAGGCCGCCGTCTCCATCTTCCACTACTCGCTCAAATTCCCAACCCCCGATGGGGAAGGGACGCACCGAGGAGACCAAAGGGAAGCGCGGGAATGCATCCTGACCATCCCGCGCACCGAAATAAACATGGCGGACTTACGGGAAGACGCCGGGGTGGCAGACACCGAGTCGGCACGCGACGGTGATGGGGGCAACCGCATGCTGGGAAACCAGACAGGTTCGCATCCCCTGACCTCGACGGGTGCCGACACGACAGCCGCGGAGCCATACGCTGGAGCGGACGACTCGGCCACGGGCGCCGAGGTGACGAATCCCGTCGAGGGCGGAGTCGAAGACGACCTCGACAGAGACAGAGGGAGAAGGGCCGGCAAAAGGCCGATCACGGAGGAAGACGAGCTCGACCCTCGGACACAATACGAAGAAAAAAGGGGGACGAAGAGGGCCGAGCCAATGGACGAAGTTGAGGTCATCTTCATCGACGAAGAGACCTGCCAGAAACAACTCCGAATCGGGAGCAAGCTGCCGGGGCCAATGAAAGCCGAGCTGACCGAGTTCCTCCAGAAAAACGCAGACGTCTTTGCATGGACCCATGAGGACATGGTCGGCATCGACCCGCAGGTCGCCTGCCATCGATTGCATGTCGACCCCACAGTCAAGCCGGTCGTGCAAAAGCGGAGGAAGCTCGGCCCCGACCGACAGCAAGCCCTGGAAGAGGAAGTGACCAAGCTCAAGGACAACGAGTACATACGCGAAGTCCGGTACCCGACCTGGGTGGCCAACCCGGTACTCGTGAAAAAAAGCAGCGAGGCATGGCGGTTGTGCATCGATTTCTCCGACCTAAACAAGGCATGCCCCAAAGACAGCTATCCCCTCCCTCACATCGACTACATGGTCGACGCTACGTCAGGTCACGAGCTGATGAGCTTCATGGACGCGTACTCCGGCTACAATCAAATTCCCATGCATCCGGACGACGAGGAACATACCTCCTTCTACTCGGCACGTGGACTCTACTGCTACACCATGATGCCGTTCGGGTTGAAGAATGCCGGGGCCACCTATCAACGTCTAGTTAATAAGATGTTTGCTAGCTTGATAGGTGAATGTATGGAAGTGTATGTAGATGATATGTTAGTTAAGTCTGTGTACGCGTCCAATCATGTAAACGATCTTAATAAAATGTTTTCCATTTTGCGTGATTATTCCATGAAGTTAAATCCCAAAAAGTGTACTTTCGGTGTCGGGTCAGGAAAATTCTTAGGGTACATAGTCAGCCAGCGCGGCATCGACGCAAACCCCGAGAAAATCAAAGCAGTGCAAGACCTTCGACCGCCGACGTCAATCAAAGGAGTCCAGAGCCTGACTGGCAAACTTGCCGCCTTGAGCCGGTTTATTTCAAAGTCCACCGATCGCTGCAAACCTTTCTTCGATGCCATCAAGAAAAATCACAAGTTCGAATGGACGCCGGCCTGCCAAAAGGCGTTGGAGGCAATCAAGGAAACTCTCAGCCAGGCCCC